GATTTATCATCTACGGGTTTATATCGAATTAATTTGATGGCCTGCTCCCAGTTGGCTTGTTAGCTCAATTGGTAGAGCGCTGCACTAGTATCGCAGAGGTCAGTGGTTCGAATCCCGTACAGGCCTGAAATTTTTTTCAGGTCTGATTTCCACTATTGCTCAAATAATGCTTTACTGCGAAGGATCGTGCTCATATATGACTTAAGATAATACTACAATTCATGACGATTGGTTACATTTCCCGGGTACTTTTGAAAGAAATTGCAAGATAAACTTCTCAATAGGAGATTCTAACCTTCTCTGTACATTGTTATGTTTCCACGAGATAATATCTGCCATAAAACCGTCCAAAAGTGCACATTCCGTTGCCGTTCGGAAAGACTGAGTGGTGCGATAAAACACAAGCTGCGACTTATTTCTCAGATTTGTTGTTGTTGAAAAGGCCAGTACTCTAATGCCCATTTTGATATTTAAATTGACAACATAAAGATTACGACAGAACGGCCAAAACTCAACCACGACTCTTTCACTTTTCATCCGCCATAATGCCTTATGCGCCTGCAATAACAAAACTGACCTGCGGTAAAAAAGTGGTTTGTGTAATCAACGGGAAGTGTTCTTTTGCTTGATGCTTTCGAAAATGGTTTGCTTTGATGTCATGTTTGCATTTACAAATTTCGTAATTTTGCTTCGTCTGGCAAACGGTAAGCTTTTTTTAAATTTATTTTAAAGCTTTATAAGGTGATACAAAGAGCTTTTCGTTGTATACTTATATATTAAGAACCAAGACATCTTCCAATATCACATAACGTAGAAAGAAATAGATCTGCAAATTTGTTGCAGAGCCCCGTGTCTGGAGATGGGACGAAATTTGAATCTTTAACAAACATTTTTCAGAAAAATGTGTTGTTATTCTTATGAAGTGCCCTTGGAGAACACGCGTGATAACGGGCATTGGTAACAGGTATCTGCGCTCTAGCTGCTTATTAGCTCCGCTCCATTTTTTTATCAATGGTTTGAAAGTTCCTTCTATAAGTCCACAACCTGAAAATTTTTCTCTCGCATGGACTCTCGTTCTCCTCTCCCAACAAGGGCATCGAACATATCTTCTTCTTCTAACACAGTCTTCTTGTTTAAAGAAAGCTTCCCACTCAAAGCGACCGATGCGAGACGCTGTGAAAAGTATGATGTAACTTGCTGCACGTTGAGCCAGTCTTTAAAAGAAAACAATTTTACGCCATCTGGTCCACGAAGTGACTTCAAGTTTGAGACAACAACGGCAGGGTCGCTCTTATTTCCTCTCTCTTATCCATCAAAAACAGCCTGTTTAAGGAGGTACTCTTTGACATATTCTGAAAATCGCCCGGTCTTCTTGTTTTTCTTCAAGGCCCAACCAGGCTCAGCAGTGGGGTACTCCATGCACTCCTTTTGGCTCAATCCTTCAAGGTTCTTTTTAGATGGAATATACGAAGGCCGTATGTTGGTGCATAGCGCCATGCATGGAATCCTTTCGGGTGTGAGAAATGTGCTTGCCAAAGTCCTGGTGGTTTTGCAACGCTGTGGTCGTTTTGAATAACTTGATGCAACCTGGTTGAGAGCAACTGAATTCATAATGTTCACTTTTGTTCTCCTTAGATTTGCTATTTTTGTACAAGAAGCCAGTTGACACATGCGGAGATGTGAACGGCTCAATGACCTCCAATCGGGTGCTTCCCTGGCTGGTCCCTCTCTTCATCAGCTTATCGTAGCGAACGAACTTTCCTTCTCCACCATTGAATTATGCAGATCCTGTGCGCTAGTGTCCACCTTTACAACTGATGCACGGCAAATTCTAACTCCGGAGTAAGAATCTATTGCTTTCTTCATATCTTTTGCCTTCTCGACATCATTTCCTGCTTTGACGTACTGGCGTATATGACCGTTTCAAAGGAGAATTATGGCGATCGCACATATCTTTGCCACTGTTTGATTCACTGAAGTCGTATCGGCTTGTAGTTACACCTGTACGTTGACTGATACCATGAATACTTAGCAATAAAAGAGCACAATGATAACAACCAGCGTTATCATTACGTGCAAACGCCTCGACAATCTCAGGTGACTTCCTTTTTATTTCCGTAAGAAGTTCTCATAAATAGATGCAACAGCAAACCAATTCTTCTTGCTTTGGTTTCAACTACAATTTAAATACCTTACTAATCTTTCCAAGTCGACGAAAACGACTTCTTATGAAGTAAGTTTACATAATCGACGTTTTCTCAGTGGTTTTGAAAGAGGAAGACTATAGGAACATGGTATCAGTAATAGTTCACCTGCTGAAGTGAAGGTCTCCTGATGACAATACCAGTTCTATTTCATCAAGAACATTCTGGATATTGTCGCAGCTTTGACACGATTTCATGTGCTCATACTCACAGTGATGATCTTCGGGGTCAGACAACGCAAATATCCGGCAATGATCAGCACGCTGGCTTTCTTCAGTAAGGTGGATCTGGAAGTTTGTTTTAAGGTAGCTTTTACCAGCTTTACCAGCTTTCAAGTGATCTTTAACATCTTGAACCCAGGCTGAACTTTTATCTTTAAAATGGAATACTAATGTCACCACTCATTTTCCTTTATTTACAAATATTTAAGATAAAGCCTCTCATACATGCTCAATTGCTTTAAGAGGCCAGGCGTTTGTTAAAATTGCACAAATTTTTGGTTTTAAAAAAATGGTTTCGACAAACCTTAAAGAAGAAATAAAAATTCGAAAAATTAAATCGGCCTAGGATGTTGGGCAGTTTGAGTGTTAAAGGTACACTGAAAAATAGCATTATATAGAAACAAAATGGTAAGATTTTTTTTTTTATTTAATGATTTGTACCAAGTACTGGAGCAGAAACAATAGGACATGGGTCCCCTATGAGGTTTAAGCTCCAATAAACCCACCCATCCCACCCCAGGGGAGGACATCCATCACACAGTAATCTCGTGCGTAGGAAATTAACGTCTCCTACCCCTAACCCTGCAGGAGACGGGACCTCCATTTATTCGTCCCTATCCGAGAAGACTAGAATATCTAACCATTTCTTGATGTTATAGAAAGGTAGATACAGACCTCTCGGGGACAAAACTTAAATTATCCGCGCTTGCCTAACTTTCCTGGCCTGTTTACTACGTCTTCGAGTGTATCGAAGGTTTGCGATCTCCTTGTAGCGATGTTGTCAGGTCCTGCCAAAGACTGCTTTTGTGATGCTGCACAAATCAATGTGATTGGCTGTTGGGAAAGAATAGATTCTGGCCAATATTCCAGAGGGTGTAGTCGGAAGGTGAGTTTTACCTTTGAGCAATCTGGGACTTCCCTCAGTCCACGGGGACTTATTATACTCGTCACCAGGTGCCCCGAGCTCAGTGCCAGTTTGAATTGTGCAGATTGTGATGACAACGGTTTCGGGCCGCCATTCTAGTGGGTTAACGTACAAGTTTTACGGAGCCTAGTCGACCGGTCCCCGACGCTGTCGATCGGTCCCCGACGCTGCCGTCAGCCTCCTACCTTGTCTCTTTACTATGAAGGAGAGGTGAAGAAGAGTATTTTTCGCGAAACTTCGTGTACATATTAAGGACAACAAGAAATCGCCACATGGTAAGTTTCATTGATTTTATTTCCATTTTCAAGCAAATTTCCAGACCTAAACTTCGCCCCACGTGACACAAACAGTGAGCCTGGGTTACCTATGCACAAATTTATACAATAATGACATTTTGTTATATTTTTCTCCTCGTGTTCATATTTCTCTGCTATTGTCATCCGGCGCTTTTGCTCTTTAAAATCCCCACCCTAATCTGCCTTAAGTAATTTTCAGTTAAGTAAGCCGAAGAAGTAGTTTAAACTAAGAAACCTGACACAATGCATATAATGATTTCCTCGTGATATCTACGTGAGATAATAGAATATAAAAACCCTATGAGTTTTCTTTCTTCTTTCGCACTTCTTCTGATTTTGAATCATGAATATGTTTTGATACGTACTTGTAAAATACTTAAGAAGGTTGACCCCTCCAAGTGAAAAGAAACCGGTTTCCTGACAGTACTGCTGGTATAAGTCCACAATCCTTGAAGCAATAACTGTCCTAACCACGTTTGGAATTTCCATCTTCTCCCCATTCAACAATTTTAGCGTTTTTGTTACGTACGCAACATCTTGCACGAAATTTGGCCTGCAGATGTAAAATCTAAAAAATGGTCTACTTTGCTTGAATCCAGTCTTGCGTGTGAAGTGGTCTCCATCTGTGTCACTGGCCTACCAACCCCCACCTTAGCGGCATGCCTTCTTGCCTCATCTACAGTCCAAATGTTTAATCCAGGAATAAGCAGCTGAAGT